ATGGCCCAGCCTTTTTGGAAAACAATATGGACTATTTTCTCAAAAAACTAGAAATGGAGCTCCCATTTGACCCAGCAATACCACTTCTGGGAATATATCCCAGAGATGCAAAAAAGTACAGTAGAAATGATATATGGACTTGTATGTTTATTGCAGCACTATTTACAATAGCTAGAATCTGGAAAAAAACCCGAGTGCCCGAGAACAGATGACTGGTTAAAGAAACTTTTGTATATCTACACAATGGAATACTATGCAGCTGTAAAAAAAAATGAAGTCATGAAATTTGCATATAAGTGGATCAACATGAAGAGTATCATGCTAATTGAAATGAGTCAGAAAGAGAGGGACAGACATAGAATGACTGAACTCTTTTGTGGAATATAAACATAATAGGAGACTAACACCTAAGCACAGTTGAAATAAGGGTCAGGAGAATTGCCCCACGGCTTGATGGCTGATCTCATGTGCTGGGGGAAAAGGTAGCTGGGATGGAGAGAGGAGCACTAAATAAATGATGATTGGAGGGATCGCTCGGGATAGTAGATGCATATTGAAAGTACACTACGCACCAAACATGATGACTGCTTATTAACTGTATTGCAAATATTGCAAACCATAACACCCCAAAGGACAGAGAGAGTAAGAGGGAAAGAGGGGTTGTGCCTGCCACAGAGGCAGGAGGTGGGAAGGGGTGGTGCTGGGGGAGGAATACTGGGAATACTGGGGGTGGAGAATGGGCACCGGTGGAGGGATGGGTATTTGAACGTTGTTTGACTGAAATGCAATCATGAAAGTCTGGAAGTCTGTAAATGTGTCTCATGATGATTCATTAAAATAAAAAATAAATGAGAGATCATATTTCCCACACGTTTGCCAAGAATTTTCTAGGGAGGTTTTAGCAATTCCAATGTATGTAATGATATTTCTTTGTAATTTTCACCTGCATTTTCCTAAATGATGAACACCTTTGAATACACTTATTTGTCATCTTCATAATCTTTTGGATAATTTTTTTTTCAGTTTCATATTATGTTGAGTTTGCTTCTTATTGTTGAATTTTAAGAGTTATTCAAAGGTTTTGAGGATAAGACCTTTATCATATGTAACAGTATAAATATTTATGGTTACATCCGTTTTCACAAATCACTACCATCCTGTTATTCGTCGACTGCCTCGAGCAGGCCCCAGTAACGTCTCCTTCATTCTAGCCCTGAGATTTCTAAGAAAGTGCTATATTCAAGGTTCTTTAGGAGAATGAGACCCATCATTGTTACTGGTATTTGGCATATTGGGTACGCCACGGGGAGTTTGCCAGACTCTGCCGTGTGGGCAGGTTACATTCGGTAACCTGCCAGTTTGTCCAAAGTAGGAATGAGATAATAAGATGTCATAATAAGATGTGACCCCCACGGGTTGAGCTTTCCTCCCCGACCAGGGCTCCGGCAGCCGAAGACCTCCAGGACCAGCCACTCTCTGCACACCTGAAGGTACCGACAGAGGAACAAAGGCAAGCGGGTCCTGGGGCTGAGATCTTCAAGCCTACTCGGATTGGGGCTGAGCATCCTCCACCCAGATCCTCCATCTTCCAGTAGTCGGGGGTCACATCCATTTTCAGAGGTTTTAAATTATGAACTGGTTGTGTATTTTATTTAAATATTTTCCTGCATCTGTGCTATAGTTTTGTCTATTCATTCTGTTAATATGATGAACTACAGTAATAACTTTTAAAATAATCAGTTTCATGTTCAGAAAAGGGAAAAAGAAGAAGAGGAAGAAGAGGGGGAAGGGGGTAGAGGATGAGGAAAAGGAGGAAAAGGAGGAAGAGGAGGAAGAGGAAGAAGAAAGAAGGAGAGGAGATGAGGATGAGGGGAGGAAGAGGAGAAGATGCAAGGAAGGGGGAGGAGGAGGTTTTTCATTTATGTAGTAAAAAAAAAAAAGGGAAAGTAGGAACCAGCAAATGAGTATTCTAGAGCTAGGAAAAGAAAACAATTCTTCCTTTGGGGAGAGGGAGGGATTTCCGTGACCTGAGACACGTCTTCAGCACAGCACGTGTGGTGGGGGATGGGACCAATCTATTCTGAGTGACACTAACAAGTCACTCAGCTTTGCTTGGAGAAGTTTGTCTGATGGAAACAAATTTCATTTAGGAATAAAATAATATCAAGGCACTTCGTATTTAAATGAAGCACCCAATTTGTTCTTTTTCACATACAGTAATTAGAAAGTTTTCTGATTTAAAAGCATGCAGCTCAATTATGTAATTGTCTAATAGGTTCTACTATACGGTGCTGTGGGTCTTATCAGTCTCAGGGGGATGTAATCTGAGTTTCTGTGGCTTTAATGATGTATTTATTCAACAGATGGGATTGACTCCAGCTGACAGCAAGGGGACCCACAGGTAAACATCATTTACATGTGGCTATTTAATTAGACATTTACCCAAGAGATCTAAGTAAATACTTCTGAGCTTCACTCAACTTATCAAGTAATTTCTAGTACAGTTTTCTTAAATTTCATAGGTCTCTTCCTTTTGAGATTTTTACCTACAGAGACATATTCAATCTATATTCATACTATTTATTATGCATAGATACCTTTTCAATACAGGGAAACAGTTTAAAACTACTTTATTTTACTGATGGTTAAAAGATAATGTGTAAACCAAAACAGTGCTCGGACCCACAAAAGCATTTTGTCCTCAGGCTTTCAAGGTCCGTTCTGCTCATGCTGTTTTGGCAATACTGACCTTTAGGGCTCTGCATTTCTTGAGTTTCAATCTGTTTTTTCAGAAACTGCATACTCCCATTTTTAAGGATAGATTTTTGACTATTAGTAATTTTTCTAATTGCTAATAAGACAATCCCATGATAATTTTAAAAGAACAAAAACATCTATGAGCAGAGGCATAATATAACTTGATCCTTAAGTTATTAACTGGGAAAACCCATTACTTATGGAGTTATTATTAGAAAAACTGTGAATGGATAGTCTGGAACTTTTTTCTAGTATAAAAAACATCTTTTGAAAAACAGTCAATTTAATACCAAAGGGTACTCAGTCAATATGTATTTCACTCAACATGACTGAGGCGATGTATTTGCATTATACAAGAACATAAATGCTGCTATTATAAGATAGGAACAAATTACACAAACAATAGAACCTGAAAACAAAGTCCTTCTGTTTATGAACAGATATGGAATGTATCCATAAAAACAGGTTCTAACAGTATTGCAGATCTTGCTGACTCAATAAAAATTGGGGGGAAAAACCCAAGATTTATGATTTTCTAAGAAAAACTGTTCTTTCCACAGCAGCTGGGGATGCTCAGAGTTGCTGGGGCCAGGCCTCCCTGTGGGGGCCAAGAACAGCCTCCACGCATGTCCTGCGGTGCCCCACGCCTTAGGGGAAAAGGAAATTCACACAAATGCTATCATGCTTCACAGAAAAGAAAAATTAAAGTTGTTAATTGGGTTCTGCATAATGCAGTCCAACAAAAATGTGTGTGGGAAGGATACCTACAAGGCTCTTCATGAAGAGGCACTGGTCCACGAGAGACAGCAGGAAACTGTCTCTGTAGGAATTTATCTCAGAAGAAGCAAAAGGAGAGAAAAGTGGTTCAAAAACAGGAAGAAAGAAGAGGGGAGGCTAGGTGAAGGAAGAGATAGAAGGAGAAATCAGAGAGAAATGGGGGAGGGGGTTGAGAGGAGAGGGTAGTGAGAATGGGGGGAGGAGACCACACTAGTAAAATGACTAGCACATTCCAGGAAAGAAAGGTGACGGGGAGGCAAGCTCCTCTCTGTTGTCCCATCTCTCTGGTTTCTCTAAAGTTTAATCTCATTGATTATGAAGATAAATTGGTTCCCTTTTGCAAAGGTCTGCATGCTTTGTTATTTTCTTATTACATGCACCCTCCTGTGCCATTCCCCAGAAGGTGGGACTGTATTTTATTTATCTCTTTATAGCCAATAGAGCGATAGCACAGCAGTAGGGCGTTTGCCTTGCGTGCAGCCAGCTGGCTGAGCCCAGTTCGATTCCTCCGCCCCTCTCAGAGAGCCTGGCAAGCTACCAAGAGTATCTCGCCCGCACGGAGAAGCCTGGCAAGCTACCCGTGATGCATTCAATATTCCAAACACAGTAACAACAAGTCTCATGATGGAGATGTTACTGGACCCGCTCGAGCAAATCGATGAACAAATGGGAGGACAGTGCTACAGTGCAATAGCCAATGGATCTAGGCTGGTGTCTGTATATAGAAAAAGATCCATAGATATTTATTGAATTGACATAGATGACCATTCAGGTTTTCTTCTCTTCCTCCCTCCCTCCCTCATCCCTCCTCTCCTCTCCCCTCCCCTCCTCTCCTCCCCTCCCTCCCTCCCTCCCTCCCTCCCTCCCTCCTTTTTTTCCTCCCTTCTTTCCTGTTGGTATTTAGAGCTCCTATCATTGAACTCAGGAACCACACTGGTAGCGCCTGGAGAAATGTGGTGCTAGGGAACTGAACCCAGGTTGGCTGTGTGCAAGACAAGTGCCTTACCCATTGTACTATCTCTCCAGTCCCTTCAACTTTTGAGAAGTTCTTGGCAGTGCTCAAAGAACATACTTGGTGATTACTGAGGGATCATACAATGCCCAGTATCAAATCAGGGCCTCCAACATACCGAGCATATGCTTCAACATCTCTTATACAGTAGTTTTAAAATATAGAGTAGAAGTGATGGAGACAGTACAATGATTAAGGCACTTGCCTTGTATGATTGCGATTCTGTGGTTTATAATATTATTAATAATGGTCTCTCATGCATAGAATTCCAACACCAGACCATCACCAGGATACCCCCACCCCCTCCCAGAAGTCACAATTTTTACACAAAACACTAAACAAATCAAAAGTCTCAGCTATCACTGTCTCAAGTAGATCAATTGTTAAGAAAATCATTCCCAAATGAATAACTTGAACATTTCTGAAACTTAATTTAAAAAGGAAATTGACTAACCTTTGTCTTCTGATCCTTGTCTTCTGGGAAAATTCCAGATGACTTAGCTTTGTCTTCTTTGATAGACGCATCATACGCTTTCAAGCTGGCAACATGCACACCCAATCCTGCCACCAGTAAGCCTGAGGCTGCAGCTTGTTCATATCTATAAAAACAAATATATTAGACATTTATAGCACTGGCTTATTTATGTGAGCCCCACAATTTTAAAGATTCCAAATGACAGATTATCCAGAAAAGTTTGCAGTGTCATATATTCTGCACTGAAAGATTTTATAGAGCTCAGGTTTGTTTTTTATTTTTATTTATTTTTTTGCTTTTTTGGGTCACACCTGGCGATTCTCAGGGGTTATTCCTGGCTCTGCACTCAGGAATCACTCCTGGAGGTGCTCAGGGGACCATATGGGATGCTGAGAATCAAACCCAGGTCGGCTGTGTGGAAGGCAAACGCCCTACCAGCTGTGCTATTGCTCCAGCCCCAGGTTTGTATTTTAAACTTTTACTTTTGTTATGATTTCACTGTTAGCTGAGCATTCTAAATTTTACATGTATAACTGGAATCACTTGAGATCTGAAAAAAAAAAAGCTGACACTTGGCATACCCTAGAGTCTAGAAAAATTTGGTCTATGATGTGGCTCAGCCACTGTGAAATTGTGTGTGTGTGTGTGTGTGTGCACGTGAACGCACGCGCAAGGATAGGATGATATCAAACCCAGGGCCTACCACATGTGAGGCATGTGCTCTAGTTCTGAGCTACTTCCCCAATCCATCATGGTGAATATTTAAGTCTCACAGAATGATTGTTTTTTTAAACTTACAGTTTAGGTGATAGTGTTAAAATGTATAGTATTGATGTACAAAGTTTCTGCAAATTACCACACCTTACGTCACCTCTGATGTGATCTTATACCCCTACCCTCAACCCCCTCACTGTGTATTAGCCAGTTATTTTTGATTTTTGGGCTATACCCAGAGATACTCAGGGCTTACTCCTGGTTCTGCACTCAGGAATTATTCCTGGAGGTGCTTAGGGGATCATATGAAAAGTTAGTTCAGCCATGTCAGATGTGTGCAAGGCAAGCACCCTACCCACTGTACTATTTCTCTGGAGTCAGTTTTGATCTAAGACAAAGAGTTTGTTCAATACTATCTATTCCCTTACTCTGGCTCAAAGAGAATTTTTTTTTTTTCTTTATGGGTCACACCTGGCGATGCTGCTTAGGGGACCATATGGAATGCTAGGAATCAAACCCGGGTTGGCCGCGTGCAAGGCAAATGCCCTACCAGCTGTGCTATTGCTCCAGCCCCTCAAAGGGAGATTTTGATGTGAGACCATGGTGTTGATGCCTTATTTCCACCTTAGTGGTATTTCCATCTTAATGATATTTTATCCTTATATTATTGCTATGTTCTATTTATACTTTTTATAAATTAAGGTGGGCTGGAGTGATAGCACAGCGGGTAGGGTGTTTGCCTTGCACGCAGCCAACATGGCCGACCTGAGTTTGATTCCTCCACCCCTCTCGGAGACCCCAGCAAGCTACCGAGAGTATCTCGCCCACACAGCAGAGCCTGGCAAGCTACCCGTGACATATTCGATATGCCAAACACAGTAACAACAAGTCTCATGATGGAGACGTTACTGGGCCCGCTCGAGCAAATCAATGAACAACGGGAGGACCGTGACCGTGATAAATTAAGGTATTAATACTAAGCCTTTGGAGTCAGAGAGATAGAACAGCCGGTAGGATGCTTGTCTTGCATGCAGCTGACCTGGTTTTGATCTCCTAGCACCCCATGTGGTCCTGAGCACCCCAGGTATGATCTCTGAGTGCAGAGACAAGAGAAAGCACTGAGCACTGAAAGGTATATACAGCCCTACTGCACCTCCCCCTAAAAAAAATTAAGCCTATACTATGGTATTTATAGTAAAAGGGCCTCAAAGTGAAATTCACTGTTCAAGGTAGGGAGCAGGAAACATGCAAGATGACGCTGGGACACCTTGTCCTATCAGAAATTTAGAAAATTATAAAGACTATAAAAAAAGAAAGGAAAGGTCTCAGAACTTATTTTGAAAGAGCTCCCACTAGCCAAAAATGGATAATTTGAACAACAAAAAGTAAATAAACAATCAGTACAAGGGAATGAAGTAAAGAAAACATAAAGATGGACTTAGTTGAGGGCCCAGGGAAAATGGCCTCCCATCCTTGCTCCAGGGCCTGGGAAACCCACAGGATTGCCTGAGCAGCAGTGGGAGTGGCCCCGGGGCACTGAGCTGGGAGCAGCTTCAGAGGACCTTCACATGTGTCCAAAAATAAAACAAAAAAAAGAAAATTATGAGTTGATTAAGAAAAATAAGTAAATTCATGGGCTAGAGCGATAATACAGCAGGTACAACGCTGGCCTTGCATGCTGCCCACCTGGGTTCGATCTCTGGCACCACATAGGGTACCTGAATCTCCACCAGGAGTAACCCTGGAGCACAGAGCCAGGAGTGACACTGAGCATCACTGGGAATGGTCCCAGACCAAAACCAAAACCAGAATAAATTAGAAAACTAATTTTAATAAATCTTGAAGTTAATAAAAGACAAAATACGAGCATCCTGTTACATACTAAAATATGGAGGCATTTTAAGGCCTTTATGCTAAATAAAATAAGTCAATCACAAACACAACTACTTTGATTCCGCTTACATAAGCTCCTAGAGCAGCCACTTTCACAGAAAAGGAAGGAGAATGGAATTGCCAGGGACTGGAGAGGGAGAAATGGACAGTTGATTAATGGCTATTGACTTTCAGTTTTAAAAGATGAAAAACATCCTATAGATCTTTTGCAAACAGTGTGAATAAGTTAACACTATTGAAAACTGCATCTAAAAATGGATAAGTATAAATTTTATATTTGCTTTTTGAGATGAGGAGGATTGTTTGGGTCACACCCACGCAAGGACTACTCCCCACCTTGTGCTCAGGGGTCACTTCTGGTGGTGCTCGGGGGACCATATGCTGCAGATGGAACAGGAGTCTTGCTTCATCAAGCAAGCACCTTAGCCTGTATACTACCTCTCTGCTCCTATTTAAAAATCACAATTAAAGATATAGACAAAGAAATCTTTGGAGACTACAAGGACGACGTATTATTATAAAACTTAGTAAAAAACAAGGGATGAAAGCAAGTATTTATCCTGCCTTTGAGGACATGCACAAAAAAAACACATTTTAGTTCTGAAGAGATGTTGGCCTCAGGCAGTACTGGTTTGCTTTAATACCTGAAAACCATAGGTTTAGAAGTAATACAGGCTTACTGATGGGAAAAGTTCTTCTTACTAATAAATGAAGAAGAAATACATGAATTAGAAAAGAAACCAGGTCCTAAGACCAAGGAAATATTTGATCATAATATTGGGCTGGAGTGATAGCACAGCGGGTAGGGCGTTCGCCTTACAAGCAGCCAACATGGCCGACCCGAGTTCGATTCCTCCGCCCCTCTCGGAGAGCCCGGCAAGCTACCGAGAGTATTCGATATGCCAGACACAGTAACAACAAAGTCTCCAATGGAGACGTTACTGGGCCCGCTTGAGCAAATCGACGATCAACGGGAGGGCCTTTACCTTTACCTTTATTGTGCAAATTGGTAAATTTTCTATTAGCAACATCGGTTTCATCATTGTAAAACACAGGATTAACAGACACAATGTGCTGTCTGAGGCAATGGAAAAAGAAATACACACTCTCACTGGTGGAGGGAAGCAGGCACTCTGGTGTGGATATGGGGTTGGAATGGTGTAGGCATGAAACTATCGTAAATCACAACAATGGGGGGGGGTATTTATTATTCCTTTTAAAAAAAGGGAAGAAATACAAGCATGGGGATGTCATCTTGCCAAATGCCTGGCCTACAATATAATCACATCAAGCCACCAGATTCTAGATAATATCATCTGAATTTTTAAAGACAATATAAAAAGACTGTTGAGGCAATCAAGGCAAACTGACAAGAACAAAGAATTGGCCAAAAAATGTAGTTAATGGTCCTGTCACTGTCACTGTCCTCCCATTGTTCATTGATTTGCTCGAGCGGGCCCAGTAACGTCTCCATTGTGAGACTTGTTATTGTGTTTGGCATATCGAACACGACACGGGTAGCTTGCCAGGCTTTGCTGTGCGGGCAAGATACTCTCAGTAGCTTGCCTGGCTCTCCGAGAGAGGTGGAGGAATTGAACCTGGGTTGGTTGGGTTGGTCGCTTGCAAGGCAAATGCCCTACCGCTGTGCTTTTGCTCCAGCCATATTGTATCAGATTCTTTTGGGGGGGGTGAGAAGGCACCCCTGAGATGATGCTCAGGGGTTACTCCTTGATCTGCACTCAGAATTACTCCCTGAGGAGCTCTGAGGAGAATACGGGATCCGGGGGATGGGACCCAGGTCAGCTGCACAGCAGGTAAACGCCTCCCCCATTGTACTCCCCCTATATCCAGCCCCTGCATTCTTGAATGAACGTGCATGAATTCATTATATTATATACTACATCTTCTTTTTTTTGGGGGGGGGGTCACTCCCAGTGATGCACAGGGGTTACTCCTGGCTCATGCACTCAGGAATTACTCCTGGCGGTGCTCAGGGGACCATATGGGATGCTGGGAATTGAACCCAGGTCAGCCACGTGCAAGGCAAATGCCCTACCGCTGTGCTTTTGCTCCAGCCATATTGTATCAGATTCTTTTGGGGGGGGGGTGAGAAGGCACCCCTGAGATGATGCTCAGGGGTTACTCCTTGCTCTGCACTCAGAATTACTCCCTGAGGAGCTCTGAGGAGGATACGGGATCCGGGGGATGGGACCCAGGTCAGCTGCACAGCAGGTAAACGCCTCCCCCATTGTACTCCCCCTATATCCAGCCCCTGCATTGTTGAATGAACGTGCATGAATTCATTATACTATATTATATACTACATCTTCTTTTTTTTGGGGGGGGGGTCACTCCCAGTGATGCACAGGGGTTACTCCTGGCTCATGCACTCAGGAATTACTTCTGGCGGTGCTCAGGGGACCATATGGGATGCTGGGAATTGAACCCAGGTCAGCCACGTGCAAGGCAAATGCCCTACCCACTGTGCTATCGCTGCAGCCCCTATACTATATCTTC